GTCTCTTGGAGGAGAGACGAAACGTTTCATTAAAGAAGAACCTGTCCAGAAGACCTATACAATTTTTTCCTTTTGGTTTCTTACAGGTGCTTTCAGCTATTTTAGCATTTAGCTTTTTTATGCTATTTCAGCTAAATTTTGCTCCATTTTTTAGTTTTTCCTTTTGCTTCTTTCAGCTTTTAAAGTTTGACTTTGAATAATACTTTTGCTATTAAACATTCTCAATTTCAGCAGCTTTCAGCAACAGGCATTCACCCTTGCATTTTCGCAGGAAATGCAATTTTTCTAGTTATATTTATTTCATGCAGCGTCTCCTCTCCGAATGTGAAGCCAACTTCAGCGCCTGATCATGTGTTTGGTAACAAGCAGCGCCACGCTCAGGTCTGCGGCTCGGTGCTGGATCAACATGACTTCTCCGTACTTCATGCAAAGCAGGTCCATTATCAGCCGGAGCGGCAGCACACCTGCGGCCTCCCTTAGATCCAAACTAACCCGCAGACAGGGGGACGTGAACGCAGCACCGCCGGTGGAGGTGAAAGTGGAGGAAGAGGAGGTGAAGCTGGAGGAATCCTTCACGGTCCCATCATCAACCGGTGTGTTCGCTTTATAATGCAGGTTTCTCCCCAAAGAAACGAATATTACTGACAAATAGAGACAACCTCGATTATAAATGAGCTCCTGTGCTAACCAGCACTGCGCATGCGCGAAGACTAACCTCAAGGCTCCTGGGCCAAAAACGGTCCTTGCTGCAAGTATTTATGGGCCATGACATAATATTTGTGATGTTAAGGCTGATTATTCATGATAGTCTATATCAAGTATCAGAAATTAACTTTAAAATGTGATTAGTTATTAAATTAAATGGTTATTTTTGTTCTCGGTTCTGTATATTGTCTTAAAATGAGGTAATTTATGTCTGTATGCATAAGTTGACATGTTACAGCTGAAAACTAAAGTCAGTCTATTGATTTTTTTATAATAAATATTGACTGAGTTTGGCCCTTAACTCAGAAGATGGTTTTAATTTTGGCCCTAAAGGAGTTAGACACCCATGATCCAGACTATGGACTAAATTTAGTCTTCATTTTGACATTACCAGATGTGTGACTGGGCAGCTAATGGTTTTACTTGGACATTATAAACCATTATCTTCTTTTCTCATTATATATGTCATGTCATTTGTCAATACACACATAATTAAAAAAAACTGGACATAATGGCCATGTGTTCAGGGATATAAAGAACAAGAACACTAACACACATGAAAATGTCAGCATCAGAGATTTTATTTTATTTTATTGTTTGAGTCACAAGACCAGAGCTTGACCAAATTGTAACAGTTTTCTAATGCCCAAAAACACATTTTATAAAGTACATTTAATCTGTGAACACAAACTACACGGAAGCTGAGTATTTTCACTATTATTTATATTTTTATTGCACGTTGACAGTTTGGCTTTGTTTCGTCTCTTTCAGTTGATGGCAACAAACTGCTCCAGCCTCAACCACAACGGGAAGCGTCATTGCAGTCCCCACCCAGAAGCAGAAGAAGACAAGTTAAGCTGGAATATGAGAAAGAGGACGCTGCTTCCAGGACAAAAGGGGAGGAATGGGAACCTGTGGACTGGAAGAAGCAGTTGGATTTTATTCGTGACATGAGGAGCGGTCGCAGCGCTCCTGTGGACAACATGGGAGCAGAGAAATGCTACGACACAGACGCTCCTGCACAGGTGGGTGTGGGCTCTTCAGAAAGTCAGCGTGATCCACGTGTCCGGTTTAATCCCTCTGTTGTTTCTACAGGTAAGACGATTCCAGGTGCTGGTGTCCCTCATGCTGTCCAGTCAAACAAAAGACCAGGTGACAGCAGCAGCCATGCAGAAGCTCCGAGCGCACGGCTGCACCGTCGAAAATATACTCAGCACTGATGATAAAAAACTGGGAGAGCTCATTTATCCTGTTGGTTTCTGGAGGGTAACATCAACATTTTTTTCTATCTTGCCTCATTTCCTGGTATTCATTATAAAAAAGGTCAAAACTCTAATTAACCATCATTGTTTTGTCCTCCCGGTTTCTCCCACCACCTCCTCACCAGAGCAAGGTGAAATATCTGAAGCTGACGTCAGCCGTCCTGCAGGAGGAGTTTGGAGGAGAAATCCCAAACAATGTGGAGGGGCTGGTACGCCTGCCCGGCGTGGGACCTAAAATGGCTCACTTAGCCATGGATATCGCCTGGAACCAAGTGTCTGGAATTGGTGGGAACTTCATTTACATTTAATTTCTTTAACTCGCAACAGATCATCTCAGTGGACCAAACAAAGAACAAGCAAGACCAAAAACAGATCCAGATTCAAAACCTGTTATTCCACAAATATAATAACGTTGGACTTTATCAGTGTTGTATAAAGTACCACAAAGTGATACTTGAGTAAAAGTATGAGTATTTTACCAACAAATTACTTTGGTAACAGTTAAAGTCTCCTTTAGGAATATTACTTGAGTAAAAGTCAAAGTATTTGGTATTTTTATACTTAAGTATTAAAAGTAAAAGTACTGATTTAAAATGAGCAGTTATTTTCTGTAAGGACATTTATTAGGAGGTGACCTCCCCAAAAACTGCAGAAATGACTGTTGTAGTAAAATAATTAATTTATGTTAAATTTAGGATGCACTAGTGCAGCTGTTTCAGTTTATATACATAAATCATGACTGCACAAACATTTTCTCCAAAATGAAAATCTATCTGAGGGCTGCGGCCAAATGTAATAATATAAATACTTCTTAAGTACAGTACTTTTATTTTAATGATTGTCACACTGTGACATGATTTGTTTGTGTACAAASTAATACAGTATCAGAATTTTATATATATATACTTCTCATTCAACCACAATTAAATTCACTTTAAGGGGCACAGTTTGTATGGATATTATTTATGACCCCCGCACGCGAAGCGTAAGCAGGAGTCATATTGTTTTCGTACTGTTTTTTAGGGTTTTTTTTTTCTTCTCCGGAGATTTTTGGTCAACCGTAGCACAAAAACAGCTGCACCGATCAACATGACATTTGGCAGGTCTGTAGATGAGTCTGACCTACACTGCACCAGCCAACGGTTTTATGATAGACCCCATATTTGAGGAGGGGGCTCCTTTCAAAGAGGGGGTGTCTGGACATKMAAWWWYGCTTATAACTCAGAAACTGTTCAACATAGGAGCTTCAGGTTTCTTTTGTTGTTTAGCTCAAATGAAGGGCTATCTATCAGGCCCATCAATCAGTGCCCCCCCCACCATCCCGGACCCCCAATTTATCTGAAAAATTGGTATCTGGATGTACAAAAATGGTTATTGCTCAAAAAATATAAAACATAGGAGCTTCAGGTTTTCTTTTGTTGTTTAGCTCTGATGAGGGGCTATCCATCAGGTCCAAAACACCCCCCTTCCTCAAAAAAAAGACCCCCTCCCAATCCACTACAATTTTGGGATGCACCATGACATTTATTAGGAATAAAGACTTCTGAGTTCCGGTGCATTTGTGCGTGCGGGGGTCATTATGTTACCGCTATGCGGTGTCTACTTTTTCCAATAACAATCTGGAATAAAAACAAGTAAAAATGAATAAAAGAAATAACTTTATACTTCTTGCCCTTTTTTTAATGTAAGGAGTAGAAAGTACAGGTAATTGTGTGAAAATGTAAGAAGTAGAAGTAAAAAGTAGGCTGAAAAATAATTACTCAAGTAAAGTACATATACCCAAAAATTCTACTTAAGTACAGTAAAGAAGTATTTCTACTTAGTTACTTTACAACTCTGGACTTTATATAGTAGTTTATATATTTTTGCAACACCTTAAACTGTACTTTAAGATGCATCATGTGTTTAAATTAAATTATTAGTTCAACATGTTTGTTGATGATTTCGGTTTAGGTGTGGACACCCACGTGCATCGTATCTCCAACAGGCTGGGCTGGCTCAGGAAGCCCACCAAGAATCCAGAAGACACGCGGAGGGCCCTGGAGGACTGGTTACCCAGGTAGGACTCTGACCCACACGCTCGTGTTCAGTGTAACTTGATTTAAAAAGACAAAGAAATCAACAAAAATCATACATCTGAAGAGTGATTTGGATAAAAGTCACACATCAGTCGGCTGCAGATTGGTCACTCAGTCCCTTCAGGTATTTTGTGATTTTTGTCATATGACTGATAAAAACAAATATTCAATAATAAGGTCATATACTTGAAGTTCATTTTAATAAGTATACTTGAGTATAAGTTTAAGTATATCAAGTACACTAGGCACCATGAACCTGTAGTGTACTAGAAAGTACAAAACTTGTTCATAAATTGGGACGATTTTTGATTATGAAAAAGTATACTTTAAATATACAACATGTCATTAAGTATATAAGAGTGTATTTCCCAAAATGTACTTTTATTTACCATGTATACTGATATAAGTATACTAGCAGTTTACTAGCAAAGTATACTCAGAAGTATACTGAAAGTAATCTAAGTATAGTTTTAGTTTAATCTTGAAAAATACTACAAATAAACCAGTTTGTGTGAAAAGTGTACTACTAAAGTTTATCTTGACCAAAAGGTTAAACATTAGTATAGACTAAGTATACTTAAACTTTAGTAAACTATTAGTACAAGCCAAGTATAGTGTAATAGAAACTTGGTTAAGTATATCTCAGATAAGTACATAAAAAGTTGAATTTTATATAACTATAATGTAGTATATAGTAAATATATATTTTATACTTTAAGTTTAAAATTAGTATACTTAATGGATACTTGCATATACTACCTTTTGCTAAGGGTAACACAACTTTGCATGAGGTGCAAAAAAACAAGTTTTCCACAGTTTGTTTGTTTTTTGACTTGAATGGTGTAAAAATTTGTTGGCAGATTTCTTGACAAAGGACAGGTTGTCATCCTGCAGGCTTGGATTCCAGGAAGTAAAAAAAATGGGGATTAGGTGAAGGTCAAAATTTATGGAGATTGGTGGAATTTGAGTTAATGCAAAAACAACAATAACTGTTAGTTTATTTCTTTATTCTGATGTTGTTAAATAACATGTTCATTTATATTGATGACATAATAAGTGCTAGTGATTCACTGACTGTATTACATTTTATAAGCTGCACAGAAAGGGGAGTGGTGGTGCAGAGATTAGAGAGGTGAGCCTGTGGCTGAGAAGTTGCCGGTTCAAATCCAGTGACCACTACATCAAACTTTTCATTGTTAGGTATCATTCTAATCCGTTCGTGTCTGTTTGGTTCAGCCTAAGTTGTATGTGCTCCTAAATCAGATACAAAAAAAGTTTTGTTTCTCTTCAGAAGGAGTTTGCAGGTTCCTCCTTGGCTCAGTCAGTCAGCGTAGCTCGGTGGTCTGTGGTTGTGTCAGGAAGGGCATCCATTGTAGAAACTTTGGCTTTAAATTGAGTCTCTGTGCGCCTTCACTTGCTGTTGTCAGCCCTTGAGAAAGTGAGCAGCTGAAAGCAGAAAAAAGACCTCAAATGCACAAAATAGACTAAAAATATCTATTGAAATTTTTAGTTTACATTTAGAAACTTAAAATTTTCTGTTTCTGTGACTGATTAGAAAAGACAGCACCGTGTTCTCACATAGGCCTTCATGGGTGAAAACAAGCAACAGTTTTACTTTACAGTTTGCTACACTGCCCCCAGGTGGCCAAAGCCTCAATCCAGTTTCATTTGTTGCAGGGAGCTGTGGAGCGAGATCAACTGGCTTCTTGTGGGTTTTGGACAGCAGGTTTGTCTCCCTGTCAGCCCCCTCTGCTCCGTCTGTCTGAACCAGTACAGCTGTCCGTCCGCTCACAAGGATTCTCCTGCAAAAAGACCCAAAACTGGATCCCCACGCTCTCCAAGTCCACGAATAAAAAACTGAACCAGGACAGGAAGATCCTGTTAGCAGGGAGACAGAAAAACAGAAAAACGTTGCTCTCACCAGAAAGAGGAGAACAAAAAAACAAACCTGTTGATTTTTGTCATCACAAGTTGTTTAAGCTCAGACTCACACTAAAAACACACAGTAACTGTTTACAGTGGAAATCTGTGAACGTCAGGTTATATGAGAGTTTTTTTGACGCATTATTATCATCTTTTCCTTTTATATTCGGTTAAATATTTTACTTTCTCTCATCAAATAAAATATTTTACTGAAGTTTGCTTCAAGAGTCATAATTTAAAGTTTTATTTTATTTGGAGGTAATTTTTTTTAATTCAATCAAACAAAAAAGTAATTTCAATCAAAAAAAATTCAATAAAAAAATTCAGTCAAAAACATTTAACTTCAACTAAACAAAACAGCAATTTCTATAAAAAGAATTTCAATCGAAACATTTTGCCAAACAGTAACTTATTTTTTCACATGTCAGAAATCTTTGGTTGAATCTCAAACTTTTGGTTGAACTCAAAATTGTTTTGAACTCAGAGAACATGAACATCTGGGGCAGGACCTTAGGACAAGCTACTGTATGTAAGACGTGTCATATTTGGTTAGTGTGGACTGAAGCGATTTCCTCTTGCACCCACTTTGAATGTTGTCAATACATTACATGGCCATTATTAGAGGTTATCAGTCCCATACAGTGTGTGCAAACTGTCCTTCCTCTACCTCCTAGTAGGTTAGAAGGCACTTATCAGTGTGCCTGATAATATGCATTTAATTGCTGAGGGTTTGGCTCCTCCCCTGGGAAAAGTTTCCGTTTTGCATAAAACTTTTTCATTGAATTTTTTTAAATTGAAATTACTATTTTTGGGTAAAATTATTGTTTGATGGAT